AAAACATAGAAAGCGTAAGTGACTGTTTGTGCTTCTACGCAGACAAATGTATATGTACACATAAGATGTATATACATGTGTACTATGTGCATATACATACAAACACCAACTATGATGTGTATGCACTTATATACCTTAAGAACCCAAAACCCACTTTTTGTAGGTTCTTATTATAATAACCCTAATATGGGATGTATAGGGACCCTACAAAAAGTAGGTTTTGGGTTCTTAAGGTACATGTAAGAGCCCGGTATTCGCAAAAACATGGGGAATGCCTTCTCGAACCCGTGCGGTGGCGCGGGCGGTATCCAGGCGCGCCTTGAGCTTCAGGAGTCCGACACAGTTCCGCTTGCTGGGGGGTCCTACCCTGCCTTAAGAGCCCAAAACCCACTTTTTGGTAGGTTCTTATAAACCCTAATATGGGATTTATAGGGACCCTACAAAAAAGTAGGTTTTGGGTTCTTAAGGTAAACCCTAAACCCTAGATCCGTAGGATTAAGGGTTCAGGCTTTAGGTCTTTGAGGGCTTCGGGTTTAGAGGTCTGGGGTTGGGTGTTTATAGGGTCCACTACATAGGGCTTCTTTCACGTACGTAGGTTGCTCTAATATCTACGTGTGGCTCGAGTGCACACATTTGAGCCGGTGCTTCTTTGGAGTTGCTCAGAATGTCGGAAAGTTGACCCCACGCTCATGCAGAATTCACATCGTGTCCGACATCAAGTTTTAGCTGAGATCACCCTAAACCCTAAACCCTAAACGCTGAAGCCTAAACCCTAAACCCTAAACCCAGTTTTGCGTCGAGGATTTCCTGGTCGACTTTAGACACACCGCCCTGAACCCTACACTTTGAGTCCCTGAAAGGTGTAACGAAACTATATGACAACCCAACAAAGCCCAAGAACAAGCAAAAAAAACTACTCAGCAGGATCCAAAACACAAAACCATGAACCTGTTGTCGAGGCACCAGGGATGCAAAAGCATTGGCCGCAGTCCGGGCATCCAGAACGCGGCCGTACTCATTCAGCGCTTGGTAGAACTCCTCAGAACTCTTGATGGGCCTATTTGGGTAGTTCTCTAAATTAGGGTCTCTTTTAGGGTCCTTTTTTCAAAGGGTGCCATACTATTTTGGGGACCCCAAAACAGGGACCCTCAATTTAGAGAACGACCCATCGGGAAAGGAAACTATGGACCGCCGAACCCTTAAACTTCAAATCAATACCATCGGCCCCAAACTCGTTCGCATTCCCTAAGGGTCCATGTACTCATATAGTAGATACTTTGGCCCTAAAGTACCTATATAGGGACTACATTAAGGCCAATGTATATACTATATGAGTACATGGACCCTTAGGGTTCATAAACCGAAAGCCCTCTAAACCCTGTAAGCCCTAAAGACTTTCAACCCTCTAAGCCCTAATCAAAACCCGTAAACTTTAAACCTCTATGCTTTAAACCCTCTCTAATCCCTGGAAACACTAAAGCTGTCATGTAGGGGCGTAAATAATTACCAATAGTATTTTGGGGGGCTCCTTAATTAGCACAGTTAGAGTATATTGGGCCCCAAAACCCTATTCTAATTATTCAGGCCCCTAATATAGAACCCTATCATATATCCCTGATAGAACCCTTTAAGGATCCCGTTAAAGAACCCCTGCCCTAAACCCTAAACCCTAAACCCTTTTGAACCCCAGCTCGCCTCGTGGCTCTTCGGCTTGTTGAGCTCCTCCAGGGCCCTGCGCCCACTGCGCTGGGGCGCCGTATGTCTCCAGGCCCTCGGGCGTAAAAAAGGGGACGAAATCGGAGAAGGACTGGATTGCTAAATACCCTAAGAGCATAGTAATAGTAGAGTATAGCCAAGTAGAGTATAGTATAGTAGAGTGTATAGTATGGTAGAGTTCGGTATGGTAGAGTATAGTACATCGACCTTAAACAACCTACCTGTTCAAGGATTTAAATGGGGAATCCATAATGAGGAGCCCCTAAAAAGGCAGGTTAAACCCTAGCCCTAAACCTAAATTTCTTTTTTGGGCCAAGGGATACTATATAAGGGTTGCTACACGGGCTACAATCAGGGTTCCCTAACCATCGCACGCTTGAAAAAACATCGGATTTCGCTTGAAACTACCAATCGATTCTGCTGCGCTTGAAAATACCATGTGCGCTCGGTATTTTCAATCGGACCCGCTAGGAATCGGTTGGGGTGCTATTGTCTTCGCTAGGTTCTCCGCTAGGTTTTTATCACCACTTCCGCCAGGTTTTTCATCGACCACTTCGCTTGGTTTCCCGTGACCAGCACACACAACGAAAGTCTGAAGCACACAGGTTTTCACAGAAATTCACAGAACTTCACAGATCTTCACAGAATTTCACAGACGAGCATCTATAAGGTTTACTGCAAGGATTGCTACAAGGCGAGGGGCCGATCAACGGGTTTCAAGATCCTGGTCTCGAGATGCCCTGGAACATAAAAATAGGGGTCTTAATAATTAGAATAGGGTTTTGGGGCCCATTATACTACAATTATAGTATGGAACACCCAAAATAGTTTCGGTAATTATGCAGGCCCCTACATTAGATGTAGTTGGCGAGTGTTGTGAGACTGGCATTTTTGCCGAGCCCCCAAAGGTAACCACGACTCTCAATCACCTCACGCTAGAGGCCCGCAATGCTTGCACTTGGGTTCGGAGGTTGAATGCATACATACACATATAATTATCTATTTCTCTCTCTCTCTCTCTATCTGTATATGTATATATACGTACTATATGAAGAAAAAGCCAACAAAAAAACAAACACAAGTAAACACATCTTTATACGCAGATATACATATGGACACACGTACACATGTACACATATTGAGTATGGCTATGGAAATACATATATATATATGTATATGTACATATATGCATATGTACGTGTGTATATATCTGTATATGGGGTGAGCGAGCATGGAATACCCGTTGAGAAAGAAATGACACCGTTTATAGGAACTCCCTCGAGTGCCGGCCTGTTTGCCACTTCCTGCAGCTGACTTGTGGCCTCAACAGATGCTGGCGAAGAGTCACTGAAGCATCTGGGGTTCAGGAGTTCGAAGGTCTGCTTACTTAGAGATCATGTGTAGCCAGGAGACGGATCTGTGTCTGCGGCCGAGAATACTGGTAAGAAACTTGCAGCATGCATGTATGATTGCCTTTGTGAGCGATTTTACCATGCCCGTGATGGGCGCATGCTACCCAGTGGTCTTGAGTTGCCAACACTTGCGGACTTGCAAGCGCATACCACCCTACGAAATTGCAAAGACAAACATGGGCTACAGTGCTACATTGGCTTAAGAGCACTACCACTTAAGATGCATAGATGCTGTCTAGCTACCCATGTATGTATATGCACACATGTGCACATGCGATGTAGGTAGACAGGCGCACACAAGTCCGGACATTCATGCATACCTACATACATTCATTCATCCATTCGTGCAGGCATCCACCCATACCCATCCATCTATTATTGATCCATTGATGCATCCGTCCGTCCATCCATCCATCCATCGATCCATCCATCCATCCATCCATCCATGCATCCATCCATGCATCCATCCATGCAGCCATCCATCCATCCAGCCAGCCATCCATGCAGGCTTACACACGTACATACGCACACAACCATACACGGATAGAGTGCGTGCATGCTACACCCAAACGTACTGAATCGCCTTTCAGGAGAGTTGTCGAATCCCTGTTGTCTCAGTTTCTTGTCGAATTTGGCTTGCGTTAGTATTCCCTCTATATCTCCAGATGACGGAACCCAGATTTACCTTCTCAAAACAGCGCCAGCTTGGGTTTTGAGAGTCTGCCAAACCTCCCCTAAACCCCTTACAGACACCATCATATCACCTCAAAACCCTGTAATTTAGACAAACCTGATAGAACCAGCTTTGTCGTATGGCTGCCTTCCACCGCCTGGGCGGAGCGCCTGGACCAGCCAACCGCGTCCAGCCTGCACTTGGATCCGAGGGCACACGATGTTTGCTTGGGGGAAGGGCTCAGGGCTCAGGGAGGGGTTTAGGGTTTAGGGTTTAGGGTTTAGGGTTTAGGGTTTAGGGTTTAGGGTTAGCGTTTAGTGTAGAGGGCTGTGGGATAATTTTGGGCTGCGGCTACTGTCACAGAGCTTTGATAGACTCACTGTGATTCTCGGCCTACCCCTTGTGTTTTTCGCGGTGTAGTTGCGTCATCGGTTTGTTGGCGTAAGGTTAAGCTTTCTTGAGGCTCTACTGGAGGGCCCAGGTATATCTTCAGCTAGTTCTATACCCAAGGGAATGTTACATTACTTCTGGTGAACATTCCCCACCTCCATAGTTGTTCCATAAATGATTCATCCAATCTATGTGGGAACTCGGCCTTGAGGTATTGCAGGCTCGGCTGCACCTACAGTTGATGAAAGCCGCACAACTGGCTAAGGGAGGCCAGCCCCTCCTTGCGGAATGCTCGGCATCAAAAATACGACCCCTTGATGAAGGATTATTGGTGCAAGGATCTTGGAATTGCCGGCAAACTTTGTTGTGTCTCAAACTTACGGGCCTGGGTGTCCTCACCTTCTTCTTGAGAGCAGAGACCGAATCACGAATCGATTGCAATAGCTTTAGTTACTTCAGCTAGGGTCACGCCGGGACTCATGACTCCCAGTTTGAAGATGCAAACAAAGTCTCCGCTTATCACCCCCATCTCACCGCCCAATGCGAAAAGAAAAGCGCATCAACGCAAACTACCCCTCTTTCTTGGCTTCCGTCGGTCATCGGGGTACCCCAAAGAAAGGAGTCTCCTGGATCTTCGTAGAGAGTGCCTGTGGATGGCTCCGAAATTACCTGCATCATTCCTCTTCTGGTCTAGAATCGGCTGTTAAGCACTTGACAGCAGAAGCCCATTATGCGGTTTGTTCCACTCCATACAATCACTATACGCTTACCAGAAGGAGAGATTCACCCACTTTGGGGTCGTCTTCCGCTCAGAAAGCATCAGCATGTTCCTGGAAGGCGTGCTGCAAAGCCTGGCGATCAAGGCATGCTTAGCTGAGGGCTTGAAGGTTGTAAAGGCCGCCTTCTCTTGTGAGATTTCTCCCAGACCCAAAACGATGAGCAACACACCCTGGAGAGTAAGCTTGGCAGGTTCAACAGTCCTGAACTACAACAGAAAAATGCACTTGCAATTGCTTAAGTTCGACTTGGTCTGTGTCCCGTGGCTGCATCTCTGTGGTTACAAAAAGATGCAAGTTTCGTCCTAGAGCCGGTAGACGAAGTGACATGGCCACGCTGCCCTGAGCGCTTGCATCGTGGGGTTTCGAACTCACCTTCAGGCTTCTTCGCCAGGTTCTACAAAGGGTTCACGGGGTTTTTATCCTTCAGGATCGTTTAGGGTTTAGGGTCTATGGTTTAGGGTTGAGGGTGTAGGGCGAAGTTTGGGGTTCAGTCGTCTCGGGGGCTTGAGCTGCAGGATTCACAACCTGCAGAGTTCAGGGCGGCTGTGTTACCATTCAGCCCCAAGCCATACATTTACCCTCAGGGGGCCCTGCTCCCAACGCCCTGAACCCTACACCCCGAATCCGATGCCGTGAATCCGAGACCCTACATTCGACCCGACATTCCATGAATATTTCGGACTTGAAATCCTAAACTCTGGAAACCAGATGGATCCATGAGGGCTTGCATCGCAAATCCTCCAACCCTTGTTCGCGCCATGAATGTACATGTTTAGGGTATAGCAGTTACTCTTGGCGCACTATCAACGTGCTGATTCTTGATATACCCGGCACAGCCGCTATCGCTGTTGTTGTTGTTGTTGTTGTTGTTGCTGTTGCTGTTGCTGTTGCTGTTGCTGTTGTTGCTGTTGTTGTTGTTGTTGTTGTTGCTGCATTGTTCTACCTGCCATGAATAGGCTTAGTGGACTTTGGCTGGCCCCTAAACCCGAAACCCTAAAACCCTAAAACCCTAAAATCCTAAAACCCCAAACCCAAAGCCATGAAACCCAAACCCCAAACCCTAAACCCGAAACCCTCAACCCTACAAGACCGTCTCTCCTGGAGTGGCCTCGCCGGTCTCTGCGCCGACGCTTTGCAGCAACTGCAGCAATCGAAAAGACTTAAAGTTTAGGGTTTAGGATTTAGGGTTTAGGGTTTAGTGTTTAGGATGTAGTGTTTAGGGTTTAGGATTCAGGGTCAAGTTTTTAGACTTCCGCGCTCTGTCTCTGAGGACGCATACACAATCTAAAAACACACATTGCATCGAATAACTACATTACCAATGAGATTGGCAGTACCGTTGCCAGTACCATTTCTGTTACCGTTCCTTTACCTTAACTGACAATACATGACCTCACCATACCATACCATACTACGATACCATGCCCTAGCCCACCCTACCCTACCATACCCTACAAATACACATTTGCATGCACACACGTGCACCCTCATCCTGTGCTATGTGAGTGTGTGTGTGTGTATAAAGTGTATATATAAGATGTATACCTGTATGTAGGAATAACATTATATATATATATACATACATACATACATACATACATGTTTGTATGTATATATTTATATATAGCAAGAGAGAGAGAGAGAGAGGGAGAGAGAGAGAGAGAGAGAGAGAGAGAAAGAGAGAGAGAGAGAGAGTGAGGGTGTGTGTGTGTGTTCAAGGTATGGGCTGAATACCTAAAATCTCCTACACCGGCAGGCGACGTTAGGTCAGTAGGTACGAGTCACAGCTGTCGCGAGACACAAGAGTCTACTATGCTGTATTAATAACACTATAAGAGAGACCCGTTCTCGGAACAACCTCCATGATACGAGTAACAGGAATCGGCACGAGCTGTAAGTGTTACAATCCTAACCACCCCAGAGACCGAAAAGAACTAGGATAAACTTATCATCAACCTCAACACCTAAATCATAACGACCCCTAAACCCCAAACTTCCTAAACAGCTCTCCACAGCTTCCCGACAACAGAGGCTGCTAGACCGCGAGGCCCCGACCAAAGACAACAGGGCACTTCGATGATTGGTAACATCGGGGAAAGTTGTCGAAGCATCACCAAGAAATCGAAATCCTGAGCCTGGCACCTGCGAGCCCGGTTTATGGTTTAGTTTTTAGGGGTTTAGGGTTTAGGGTTTAGGGGTTTAGGGTTTAGGGTTTAGGGGTTTAGGGTTTAGAGGTTTAGAGGTTTAGAGGTAGGGTTTAAGGGTACTCCTCCAGAGTGATATGCCAGGACTTGAACCGCATCTTGAAGCAGAGAGCTCTGGCCCGACGTACCTCTAAGGTGCAAGCCCGCTCTTCCAGGTTCCTATGTGGTGGGGCATTTGAACAGAGGGTGTAGGAGTTAGGATCTAGGGTTTAGGGTTTAGGGATTTGGGGGACCTTTGGGGATATAGACCCTCTCAATAAGGTCCCTGTGAAGACATAGGTACGGTTAAGAAGGCCCCTTTAAGGGGTCTCCCTAATACTACCCAGGAGGGTGGCAGCACCGGTGTCGCCCGCGACGATGTTCATCTGCTCAATCGTGGCCGTCGCGGCTCGAAGAAATACTTCGATGCTCTTCACCCTCCTATGTCACATGTAATGTAGGGGCCTTAAGAATTATCTATATTCTTTTGGTGGTTCTTTGATATAATTATAGTATAATACACCTCAAAACCCTATTCTACTTACTAGCCTCTACATGTACCGACCGTGTTACCAACAGCTGAGTCTGAGATTACGGTTTAGGGTTCAGGGTCTAGGGCTAAACCCTAAACCCTAAAACCCTAAGCCCTAATCAAACCCTAAACCCTAAACCCTAAAAACCCTAAATCAAACCCTAAACCCTAAAGCCTGAAACCCTAAACCCTAAATCAAACCCTAAACCCTAAACCTGCAGAGACTGCCAGCGCTAGCTGGCCTGCTGGCCACTTGCGAGCGGGAGCCAATGTTTCCGCACACCGCCCGATCCGAAAGCTAACCTTTACAGGGTTTAGGGTTTAGGGTTTAGGGTTTGATCTGATAGCTAACTTTTATAGGGTTTAGGGTTTAGGGTACAACCGAAAATGGAAGCATCAGTTGTCGGACCCCATATTTTCGGTTTGAGGGCCCCAAGACGGGCCATCCCCGAAAACCTGTGCTTGTCTCTTGGAATCTCGGAGCCCTACTCTAAACCCGTTACTAAGCTTTTGGGTGAGGGCTTAGGGACTTAGGGATGTTTAGGGCCTTAGGGTTTTGGGTTCCCTGAAACTTCGAAAATTTTCTCCTGAAGGAATGCTCCAAGGGCACCTCGGAGGAGCGCGCCCGCGCCCGGACATGCTTGGCGACGTTTGGTGCAGCCTGGCTTGGGGTTTTCGGGTCTTGCAGCAAAATATTTAAGGCTTATGAGGGATTCAGGGCTCAGGGTTTAGGGGTTAGGGATTCAGGGCTTTGGCTGTAGGGGTTAGGGTGTAGGCATTCAGGGCTTAGGGTTTAGGGGTTTAGGGTTTAGGGGGTTTAGGGATTTATGGTTTAGGGGTCCAGGGGTTGAGGGTTCAGGGGTTTAGGGTTCAGGGCTTAGGCTACGGATTCAGGGGCTAAGCTTCGTGAGGCTTAATGGTTTTGGGGCCTATCGGGCTTAGGGGCTTCCTAATTCGATGGTCTGTTTTTTTTGAAGCTCCGGTTTATCCGTAATCCCATCAGTCCCCGAACTCTGGCGAAAGAAGCTATATCCCATGCATCTCATCTTATGCCTCCTAGCACATCTTAACCGAACCCTAAACCCTAAACCCTAAACCCTAAAACGTCATCAACGCCGGTCATCGCTGTCGTCAAAATCAGGGCCTCCGTTTCACCACGGTAGCCTTCACCAGGAAAGGCGGCGGTTTAGAGTTTTGAGTTTAGGTCATGCATGTATACCCATAGGCCCCGCAGTAGTTCCTTTTTGTGGTTTGTACTTAGGATCCTATTAGGTAATCCCCAAAAGGAACTACTATGGGGCCTATGGGTATCCCAGGCGTCAACAAATTATGACAATGACAGCAGCCATGCAGATGAACACAATGCAATTGTGCCAACTGCTGACAGGCGTTCGCCGCTGCGTGGCATGCCTGGTATTCCATGTTCAAGAGGGCAGAGACCCTGCTTCGTCGTGCTGCTGCTGCTACTGCTGCTGCTACGACTATTACCGCCACTACCACTACGACGACGACTACTGCTGCTACTACACTGCTGCTGCTGCTGCTGCTGCTACTACTACTACTACTACCACTGCTACTTGAACTACCACCACTAGTATTACAACTACCACTACGAAAATTGCTGCGCCTACCACTACTACAACTGCTGCCGCGACCACGACCACGATTACCATCACCACCATCGCCATCACCACCACCACCACCACCAGCACCACCGCCACCACCACCCCCGCCACCACCACCACCACCACCACCACCACCACCACCACCACCACCACCACCACCACCACCACCAACACAACCACCACTAATCCGGCCACGACTATCGCCAAGTGCGGCCTTGTCGTTGAGCCCTGCGCCGACCAAGTCCAGCGCCAGCCTCCACCACCCACAGAGGCTGACAGAACTGAAGGAAGCCTACCTTAAGGTCTCAAGGGGACAGAGAGAGAGTAAACATATAAACATCTTATACTCATGTGTATATATATATATACATACGTATATATATGTATATATACATATATGTATACACACGTGTGGGTGTGTGGAGAGAGGGAGAGAGAAAAATGATAATAACAAAAGAAATAAAGACACGGAGCAGGAGAGTCAGCACCGTAGCCATGGCAACGTCAGGGTATGGGACTTGGATCTCTAAGCCCGCCGTCCGAAGACTGGTGCTCATGACTCATAATGTCTAAGACCGCAGCCCAGACCCAAAGCCGAAAAGCTGCCCCGAACTATGAACATCACGGACTTCGGTCTGGGGCCCAGAGAAACCAATAAAATACCCTTTAACTTAAAGTTAAAGAATATACCTACAATCATAATATATTAAGGTCCCTATAATTTCGGGGACCTGGAGACTTCAAGGTTTCGGGGCTTAGGGTTTAGGGTTTACCCATAGGCCCCATAGTAGTTCCTTCTTGGGGTTCATATTTAGAACCCTATAAGGTAATCCAAAAAAGGAACTACTATGGGGCCTATGGGTAGGGTCTCCTACATCAAAATATTCGGCGCACAGCGGCCTAGGCTTCAGAGAGGCATCCGGAGTTCAAACGCACAGCCCGGCATTTCTGACCTTGTGATTGAGAGAGGAAGGACGAGCAGTCTGCAACAGATGCTTACAAGTTAACCCTAAACCACCAAACCCTAAACCGTAATCAGCCTAACTCTGAACCCCAAACTCTAATTAACTTAAGTCTAAACCCAAAACCCTAATCAAATCACTTTCTGCCTTGCCCAGCGCTCTGCAGGCAGTGGCCGCAGCAACCAATTTGCTAGGCGCCCGCGCACCTCACAGACTGCACCTATACCCCCTGAAGTAGTTCCTGCACAACCGAAACTGTCGATTCTTCAGCTTCCTTGCTGGAGGATCCGAGGCAGCCCAAAACTGGTCTTAATCGGCCCCCCACCCCAAGCATTGTACAAAAATCTGTAGCAACAAGAAGGGAAAGAGATGAGTCGTGAAGGAAAGCAGGAGCTGAAAGGCTCGGCAAAGCCTCAATGTGCAGGACTGAAGTAACCAGACCTTCAAACATCTCTTCATTAAGGAATATACCTTAGATCTCATTTGGGATCCTACGATAATTTAATGTACATTCCTTAACTAAGGGATAACGGAAACTCTGGGTAATTTGACTTCGCCTACCCTGAGCACGGCCGAGGCCAGTCCAAGCCGGACAGCAGGACTCGACGAGCCGAAAAAAGCACGAAGAAAGGGTTTATCGGTTTAGGGGTTTAGCGGTTTAGGGTTTAGGGCTTAGGGGTTTAGGGTTTAGGTTTAGGGTTTGGGTTTAGGGGTTTAGGGCTTAGGGTTTAGGTCACGAAATGCAAGACAACATGGCCACGCTGGCGAGGATCGAAGTGCCCCAAGATGGCATCTGGTGCAGATGAGATGCCGGACCCGGCCCCCACCCCAAAACCAACTATATCCTAAACTCCAAGCTCTAAACCCTACAACCCCAAACCCCCTGAATCCCTTAAACCCTAAACCCTGAGCCCTAATCCCTAAACCCTAAACCTTAAATCCTGTACATCCTACACACTTCCAAACCCTAAACCCTAAACCCTGAGCCACCTCAGCATCATGCACGTCGAAAGTCGCCAGCGCAGCAGCCAATCGCTCGGCCTCGGGTCAGCGCACCATCATAGTGCTTCGGGATTAAGTAGGGCTTCTGGACTTTGAAGTAACGGGGGAGAAAGAAGTATAGACTGAAATTTCAGAATGGTTTGTATGTAAGGAACAGATCCAAAAAAACACATGTATTCAAGTATGGTACTCCAGAACTGAGGCTTCTACTAGCCACGGACTCTACTACCTAAGAGTCTGGTCCTACAGGGCGCTGGGCCGTTAGCATTTTCATTTGGGCTTGATGTAAAGGGGTCTACAGGGCTTTGGATATAGGGGCCTTCAAAATTAGACTGAGCTCGAAGAGTATGGTGTACGAGACTATAGATGAAAGTCGACGAGTAAGTAGAACGGAATAGAGTGGAGAAGAGTGTACTAGAATAAAATCTACATAGAACCCTAGCCCTCAATCCCTGAAGCACAGATCCTCAGCCCCTGTACAACCTACTAGTTCCATACTTCCAAAACAGTGCTGGTGAAGCTTGAGACACTGGACACGGACGAAAGCAGCCTCCATCCGGCTAGCAATGGTCGTCATCCAAGCTCACCGGGAGCACGCTGCTTTCGCCAGGTCAAGCAAGCTCGCGGTCAACCCGTCAGCCAAGTCACACTGGTCTCGTGCGTCGAAATGTCAGCACCCATGGCAGAGGCTTTGGAGAAAGGACGACCGCCTCCTCCTGGCTCTCCTTCGCCAGCCAATTCGGAATAAATTCCGGTGCATCTGCTCGCATGACAGCGCGGGAGCTTGCTGCCGCGGTCTCTTGCTTTCAATGGGTTTGGGGTTTGGGGTTTAGGGTTGCGGGCTCTCAACGGCTACCAGAGGCCAACAAACTGACATACCGGAGAACTCTACTACCCGAAAGTCTGGTTCTACAGGGGCCGTAGCAGTGTTAGGTAAGCTTGATGTGTTTGTGAAGGGGTCTATAGGGATTTCGATATAGAGGCCTTGATAAATAGACTAAACTCGAAGAGTACTGCGTGCGAGTAGCGTAGAGTACAGAAGAGAAGAGAGGAATAGTGTAGTACAGTAACAGAAGAAGAGGCTCTATCTCAATTTATGTACAGTAGTGCAGAGTGCTAAAAGGCTTTCATAATGGCCAACAGAGATTCTGTAAGGGCTTTCATAGCTCTGCTTAGTTACATGGGGTTGGGGGATCAAGGGACTTAATGTGCTTAGAGTCGGGGGCCGAATCAACGCATTTCGTGTACGCAAAATACGACAACATCTATATAGAATCCCACAACCTGAAATTCAGATCCTCAGCCCCTGCACAAGCTTCTTGCTAAGGGAACGCAGGCCGGTAAGCCGTCTTTACCCTAACCCGACACAGCAAGGCCACGACCTGCGCGAGACCTTCCGGCGGCGCTTCGCCAGAAGCCGGAGCCTTCGTGATTCGGCTTCGAGGTGGGTTAGGGTTCAGGGTTTCGGGTTTAGGGTTTAGGGGTTCAGGGTTTAGGAGGCAACGGAAGGGGGCGTTTCAGAAAACAGGGGTACCTTAGTTGTTTGCCCTTGTTCTCAGGTTCCTATTCCTTCGAGTTACCAACACTGTATGTGGTACATGTGTGAACCATGATGATGAAAAACAGGGCGATGCCGTCTGCAGTATAGTTTCTTTGAACTACCGTAACACACATGCAGCCAGGCATAGAAGGAACTGCTAGTGTTTCAGTTTTGCTTTTGTCTTGTGGAACATCCAGACTTTCTGAGTGCTTTGTTCCAGTCTGTCTTTCAACGTCTTACTGCTCTATATCTTAGTCGCAGGCAGCTCTCTACCTCCCACTACCTCTCTGCCACTAACAACTATTCCATCCCACTGCAGCATGACGTCACTTGCAATTAACACGTAGCTCACGTGAGCATCGGAAGCTGAAGCGGTGATCGCACCAGCGATCCTGAATCCTGAGGCTCCAAGCCTGTCAAGCCCGATTGACGGTTTAGGGTTTTGTGCTTAGGATTTAGGGTTTAGGAATCCCTGTAGAACGGAACAACACTTGAACCTTACACCTACAGACCTGTTTGAAACTGTTCCCCGTTCGTATGTCCCCCGAGGGCGTGCCTCGAATTTGTCCGAAGACCCTCGCCGGCGCATGGGAGTGGGCACCTGCATAGGCTGCACAGTGTTCAAGGTTCAGCACCCTTCCTGTGACCCTGCAGACGCGCCTTCGCGAGCGGCTGCATCTCCAACGCTCTGCATCGGTCCAAGATTGTCGGACCTCATTTGTGGGCCCGTAAGGAAGTAGAGGCCGGGGTATACTTCCAATTGTGTCTAATCTTTCACACAACCGAACCAGACTTCTCAGCATCGGCACCAATCTAACACGACCATCTGTTAAACTAATCTAGCGGCTTAGGCCCGACCCTGACACCGCGAACGAGGCCTTTGGCTTTCAGGAGGATTGAAGGTTTGAAGATGTGATATAACATGCTTTATGGTGCGAAGCGAACAAATTTGTCCTGGAATCCGTGACCCCTATGAGCTAAGGCTCTGCACCTCCGCTACTGTTTCCGTTGAGAGCTTGCTTGTTTTTGAGGGCTGCGCGCCCAGGGCTACTGACTCAGACTAAGACAGGGTTCAGGGCTAAGGGCAACAGCATACGCGGGGTCCTGCAGCGAGGGCCTAAACCCTAAAGGCCTTAAAGCCCTAGTAAAGGGGCCTTAATAATTAGAATGGGGTTTGGGGAGCATTATACTACAATCATAAGAAGGAACCTCACCATAGTATAGGTAACTTGTTAGTAGGCTTCTACAGTAAACCTTTCTCTTCCTGCTCCTTGGCCCTCTTGGCTCTCGCCAATAACTTTACGACCTCCTTTCGGAAGGCTTTCTTGCACCGCATCGTGAAGATTTCGCCCTCGCGGAGAAAGTCCTCCTCCGGTGAGCCTCATCATGTACAGTAGGGGGCCTTAATAATTAGAATAGGGTTTTTAGGTCCATTGTTATAGAACAAATCTATTAAGGACCCCCCCCCAAACAAAAAAAAAGAAGATGTAATTTAATTAATTCAGCCCCTACCTTCTGAGCCACCTTCAAAGGATGTGAGGATTTGGGTCCCTTACCCTACATCCGACGGGCCACATCTTACCCGAAACTCTGAGCAGCACGATTTTCACCCTAGAACACCCCAAAGTGCCAGCGCGGTTCACCTTCAGGGTTAGGGTTTGGGGTGGCAGAGTGTTAGAATTTATGATGCCCTAAACCCTAAACCCTAAACCCCTAAACCCTAAACCCCTAAACCCTAAACCCTAAACCCCAAACCCTGAACCACAAACCCCTAAACCCCTAAACCTTAAACCCTAAACCATAA